ATAAGTACAACCGTATGTAGTCAATACATAAACAGACAAAATGTGAACATAGTAGACGAAACTCTTACAGATTACAGCTTTCTCAGTAGGTCTCACTATTCTAAATCAAAGAATTATTTGAAAGACGATATCGAATTTGTCACTGAATTCCCATGTTTATTGGGACACCCTGTATGAAGAAGTAACCTCTGTTTTTCTGTTTGTCTGTTTGTATGTCCGATCATGACCGATTTGCTTCAAATTTTGATTGAGATACTCTGGAGAACCACGGGAATGTTTTCAGCATGGTTTTAAGATTTTAAATTTATTAAGTCGACTTGTATAGGGGTAAATATCTAAAATTGTAATTTAAGACCAAGCGACGGGAGTAACTATGAATAACCTGGGCAATGCTGGGTTCCCAAGCTAGCATTATTATATGAATAATTATCTAGTGCTATTTGTTAAAAAGTGAGAAACACGTTATTACAATAAAGGCGACAATATATGTATTGTATACTGACCCCCTACTGCGTAAACTCATCATTTAACAAAAATAATTAATCATTTATTTTTAATGTTGACATTGTCATCCTTTCAATCAGCTCATGACAAATGCATTGTTAAGCAGCCTAGGCTCTGAGCTGTCTGACTGCCTGAAATATTGACTGCCTCGCTGCCTAGAAAACAGGCAGTTGGCAACTGGGTTCGGTTTAAAATTCAAATGTCCTTTTTTATTCAGTATTAGGTTTACGAGAGAAAAATAGAATAAATAATCTTTAACATTTACATAAAATTAGTCATAGACACACCCTTACCTAAAGTCATGCAGACAATCATACAGACATATAGTCATGCAGACAATCATACAGACACATAGTCATGTTGACAATCATACAGACATATAGTCATGCAGACAATCATACAGACATATAGTCATGTTGACAATCATACAGACATATAGTCATGCAGACAATCATACAGACATATAATCATGCAGACAATCATACAGACATATAATCATGCAGACAATCATACAGACATATAGTCATGCAGACAATCATACAGACACATAATCATGCAGAAAATCATACAGACATATAGTCATGCAGACAATCATACAGACATATAGTCATGCAGAAAATCATACAGATATATAGTCATGCAGACAATCATAAACATGCATCTATACAGATATATAGTCATGCAGACATGCAGACATATAGTCATACAGTACAAACATGCAAACATGCAAACATGCAGACATACAGACAGGATATACATACAAGTACACAGACCTATAGATATATAGATGTATACTGCAAAAACACAGACATAAAATTATTTATATAATATATAGGTACCGAAACATACAGCATGCAGTCAACCCTAGTATACTCTAGGTACACATAGATACTGTAGATTTACTTCAACCCTAGTAAACTCAGGTACACCTAGATACTGTAGGTTTACTTCAACCCTAGTATACCCTATCATACTCCTAGATACAGTAGGTTTACTTCAACCCTAGTATACTCAGTACACCTAGATACTGTAGGTTTACTTCAACCCTAGTATACCCTAGCATACTCCTAGATACAGTAGGTTTACTTCAACCCCTAGTATACTCTAGGTTCACTTAGATACTGTAGGTTTACTTCAACCCTAGTATACTCTAGGTACACCTAGATACTGTAGGTTTACTTCAACCCTAGTATACCCTAGCATACTCCTAGATACAGTAGGTTTACTTCAACCCCTAGTATACTCTAGGTTCACTTAGATACTGTAGGTTTACTTCAACCCTAGTATACTCTAGGTACACCTAGATACTGTAGGTTTACTTCAACCCTAGTATACCCTAGTATACTCCTAGATACAGTAGGTTTACTTCAACACTAGTATACTCTAGGTACACCTAGATACTGTAGGTTTACTACAACCCAAGTATACTCTAGGTACACATAGATACTGTAGGTTTACATAAACCGTAGTATACTCTAGGTACACATAGATACTGTAATTTTACATAAACCCTAGTATACTCTAGGTACACATAGATACTGTGGGTTTACATAAACGGCCTAGTATACTCTAGGTACACATAGATACTGTAGGTTTATTTCAATTCTAGTATACTCTAGGTACACCTAGATACTGTAAAGCTGGTGCTAGAGGGTGGAACCAGAGAAATAAATAAAAAGGGTTCTCGTGAAATCCACCCAAAAGAAATCTCTCTTTCATCTGATTCAAATATTTCTTTTAAACCTTACAATCCGGTATTCTTTAGAATATATTATTTTTTTTCTCTAATCTACTCCTCTCTACTAAGAAAGAAAGAAAGTATAAAAGAAAGAAAGAAAGAAAGAAAGAAAGAAAGAAAGAAAAAAGAAAAAAGAAAGAAAGAAAGAAAGAAAGAAAGAAAGAAAGAAAGAAAGAAAGAAAGAAAGAAAGAGAGAAAGAAAGAAAGAGAGAAAGAAAGAAAGGAAGTAAGAAAGAAAGAAAGAAAGAAAGAAAGAAAGAAAAAAAGAAAGAAAGAAAGAAAGAAAGAAAGAAAGAAACAAAGAAACAAAGAAACATAGAAACAAAGAAACAAAGAAACAAAGAAACAAACAAAGAAAGAAACAAACAAAGAAAGAAGCAAAGAAAGAAAGAAAGAAAGAAAGAAAGAAAGAAAGAAAGATAGAAAGAAAGAAAGAAAGAAAGAAAGAAAGAAAGAAAAAAGAAAGAAATAAAGAAAGAAAGAAAGAAAGAAAGATAGAAAGAAAAAGTTTGAAAAAGTAAAAAAAGAGAAATATAGTGAAAAACAGGGAGTTAGAAAGCAGAAGGAGAGAAAGAAAAAAAATGAGAAAGAAAGAAAGGGAGAACGAGAGAAAAAAATACAAGATAAAGAAGGAAAGATAAAGAAGGAAAGATACAGAGAGAAAGAGGGAGAGATAAAGAAGGAAAGATGAAGAGGGAAAGATAAAGTGGGAAAGATAAAGAGAGAAAGAGAAAGAGGGAAAGATAAAGAAGGAAAGATAAAGAGGGAAAGATAAAGAGAGAAAGATGAAGAAGGAAAGATACAGAGAGAAAAAGGGAAAGATAAAGAGGGAAAGAGGGGAAAAGGGAAAGAGGGAAAGAGAGAAAGAAGGTCGGATTATGAAGGAGAATACGCCACTCCATCTCACTCCAACAGCCTCCGCAACGATGCCCCCCCCCCCGGCCCCGGCACTTGGATGTTGTTGAGTATAGTTGCTCAGTTGACATTAGAATTTAGAGTTGGTTACATCCCTGCCCCGGTATAGATACAACCTGTGTATTAATGCAGGCAGCCCAAGATTCAAGCACTAGACTTAAACAATATTTAATTAACTCTAAAGGAGTAACATCAAATTTTCTAATTTATCTTTTCAACCTTATGTTGATATCTGAACAGATTAGAATATTAGAGTTTGTGTTGAGTGTTCAGTTAATTTTTAGGAGAATCTGTTTTCTCTCTCCTCGCGCGGGTTTTAATCAAAACACTTTTTCTAAAACCAAGTGGTCATTTTTAGATGATATAGTTCGGGGTTTTAAAACAAGAATTTTAATGAATTTGTTAAAAAAATTTGATAATCATAAATATATATTGCTTCAACAAAAACGATTTTTAATAAAGTTAAAAACATTTGAACACTTATCACTTACAAATTACGATACTCTTCTTTGCAATGTTGATCTCACTGAAATATAAGTCAAAAAAAAATCAACACCTTATACTTTTTTATAGACAACGTAATCGCTTGCCAATTATTACGTATTTTGTACTTCTAAACAGCACATTTGCTTGAATATGCTAGGGTTACCTTTCTTAGAATATCAGACACTTTTTAAACAGAGACTAACTTTAATGTTTTTAAACAGAGACTAACTTTAATGTTTTATTTACTAGTTTACTCTTTTTTGCAAAGTGAAATATTCTTAAAGGGACTCTTGATCTAATTTCAAGTGAAGCCCAATTCGAAGCGTTGCATGCTAGATTCACAACAGTACCTTTTAGCCCTTTATTTTACTATTCTTCTCAATTTCCTTTAATGTATCACTTCTACGGAGAACTGCAATCAAAACAATCCTTATTTTAGATCTTAAAATTTTAAAAAGCTAAAACCCAATAATTTTTGCCCAGGTAAGATTTCAAGGATACCATTGTGAATCGGAACTGGAACTCTGAAAATGATTGCTCACTTCAATTACATCAACACTCGATAGTTTCTTTAACTATTTTTAACAATTTTCACCTAGTTTTAACCATTTTAAACTATTTCTTACTATTTTTTTACTCTTTTAAATCGTTTCACCATGTGACACTTAGTGACCCCCATGACCCACACCGACCAATTACTGACCCCCAGGACCCCACCGACCAATCACTGACCCCCAGGACCCACACCGACCAATCACTGACCCCCAGTGTCCCAGCACCCACCAACTGACTCTCAGTGTCCATCAACCACCGACTGACCCCCAGTGTACCACCACCCACCAACTGACCCCCAGTGTCCATAAACCACCGACTGACCCCCAGGGCTCGATTAACCACACACTGACCCCCGGTGTCCCACCAACCACCTACTGACCCCCTAGGCCCCACCTATCACCCACTGACCCCCAGGGCCCCACTAACCACCCACCTAAATAAATTTTTAAATGCTGGTCAAAACTGAGATGGATCAATTTAGAATGTATTATATATAATGACAGGAGGGATCAAAAGTTAATACTTGTGACTGATTCAAACCAATCCATTGACCTTTTATAACTTCCAGAAAACTTAATCTTTTAATCCCTTTATCTTTGCAACTTGATGGTGTAAATATTTCAGACTATTGTATCTAACAGAATCCTCTGTCTGAAATATAATGGGTCCACGACATCAGGTTGGAACGATATAAAGATTAGAAAATTCAAGTTTGAGGCAAATTTTCAGTTTCTTTGTCAGGTTTTCTCTTAATAATGATCTCATTTTCTCAGATTTTATGATTAATTTGATTTTTCAGAATTGTGAATCAAAATGAGATAGTGGACAATTATTAGTAGTGAACCCGGCCCTCATTTGTGAAAATATAGCGGAAAAATGAAATAGTTTTCCGCTAACCTTTCTTTTCCTCTAGTCAACCGTATCTAGTCAACTACAGAGTATACAATCAACCCAGTCAATCAACAAATCAACCCAAAGACAGTATCTAGTCAACCAGTCCTGGGTTAGAGAAGGGACTATAATCAACCAAAATCAACATGAAGTGTTTATTGCACATTCTTCTCTTGGTAAGTACTTTTCAAATATTTACATCCATATTTGATTTGATTTGATAGAAAATATTTACTTTAAAGTATACAGGGCTTCCCATAAAGAATGGGACTTCAGAGACGACTGTGCAGAATTATCACATATTTATGGAAGAAGACGTAATTTAAACCCTTGAGAAAGTCACTTTTGAAGAGTTTCAGGTCGTCTTTTCAGTCTCAGCCTTTGTGTAACCCTGTCCAGACACCCTACTACATCAAAATTCACAGTTTTCATTGAAACATATATATCTATAAACACTGGTTTAATTTCTCTTATTTTCTCACACGAAATTGCAATTATTAAAAATCATAATTAAATATAATTTAACCTCCCCGGGTTCAAACCAACATAAAGAAAATAGTTTCGCTCTCATTATGCATTAAGTACTTGTTCATCACAAACAAATATTTCCGAATACAGTGAGATCCATAAAACTATGGAATAGCTGGACTGTTAGTCCAATGAACATGAAACATCATGTACACGACTATTCAATATATTGAAAAATTATTTGCTTTAGAATATTATCAAATACGCAAAAAATTGATAATTTTAGTCTTCATTTTCCAAAGTTTTATGGGTCTTACTTTTTATAATTTTGATAACTGTCATTCTTGTTGAAAATGAAATTCTAATGTTTACCTTGAGTTTCTTGAATATTTATTAAACATTTCTATCCTGACTCAGTCTGTCTCTAAATCTAATGACCAATCCTTGAATATTGTCTGTCAAACTTATAAAGATTAGATTAAACTGGAGTTGACTAGAGATTAAGAGATTATAAAGATTAGATTAAACTGGAGTTGACTAGAGATTAAGAGATTATAAAGATGAGATTAAACTGGAGTTGACTAGAGATTAAGAGATTAAAAAGATTAGATTAAACTGGAGTTGACTAGAGATTAAGAGATTTAAAAGATTAGATTAAACTGGAGTTGACTAGGGATTAAGAGGTTATAAAGATGAGATTAAACTGAAGTTGACTAGAGATTAAGAGATTATAAAGATTAGATTAAACAGGAGTTGACTAGAGATTAAGAGATTAAAAAGACTAGATTAAACTGGAGTTGACTAGAGATTAAGAGATTAAAAAGATTAGATTAAACTGGAGTTGACTAGAGATTAAGAGATTGAAAAGATTAGATTAAACTGGAGTTGACTAGAGATTAAGAGATTAAAAAGATTAAATTAAACTGGATTTGACTAGAGATTAAGAGATTGAAAAGATTAGATTAAACTGGAGTTGACTCGAGATTAAGAGATTTTAAAGATGAGATTAAGTCCGAGTTCAGCTGAGATTAAGAGATGATAAAAAAAAGATTGAACTGGAGTTTAACTAAGATGAGATGTTGCATCCTAGACTCATGTTATTGTATCCTAATTATATCCTAGACTCATGGTATAGTTGTTTTAAATCCTAGCCCTCCCACCTTTTGGTTTTATAGACATTATATTCATGATTAAAATATATTATAGTTCTACATAAATCTATTCGTAAAAATCAGATACCAGATATCAGATTCCAGATACCAGATACCAGATACCAGATACCAGATACCAGATACCAGATACCAGATACCAGATACCTGATACCAGATACCAGATACCAGATACCAGATACCAGATACCAGATACCAGATACCAGATACCAGATACCAGATACCAGATACCAGATACCAGATACTAGACACCAGATACCAGATACCAGATACCAGATACCAGATACCAGATACCAGATATACTATATACCAAATATCAGATAAGAAATTATTGCACCCAAAATATTGATGCACAAAAAGTTAGAACCCCTATGAAGGAAGGAGTGCCCAATCATAAATTATCTTTGATCATCATTTAATCAATTTAAATCGTTTTTAATCAAACTTCAAAATGATTTTCTTATAATGTCAGTAGATATATAAATAATATTCAAGTAGAAGTTTCTAAATTGTAAATTTAATCTTGGAGTTGCCGAGGTCTTACCCCTAGTTGGTTCCTCTGCTCTCTGGTATACCTAGAGATAATTTAAACTCTAATGAAACCTTGCATTTGATTCTCTCTGATTTATGTTTGATTGGATAATTCCATTCATTCAAATTGATTGATTTGGTTTGGGTATGATTGACAGCTCTGCCATATCCTATAGTACGCTAGGAGCTAGTGTTTAACTCTCAGAATATATATACTATAGAATAACAGAGCCCGAAATTTAAAAGAGTATCGTTGAACGAAACTCCCGAGTTTCATTTTTGGGGTCTTAACATTTGTGTAGATTTTGATTTAAGAGGTTCAAAAAATATGGATAATATGAAGAAACCAAATAAAACAATATTTTATAACAAAAATATTGATATCCACAAAACTACCTAACCCCATTCGTGAAACCCAGGTTCCAAAACTGGTTTTTTAACGATACTCTGTCTTAAGTTTTGGGCTCTGGTGGCACCTGTATTGGTATGACATTGTGAACATGTATTGGTATGTTATTGTGTACATGTAGTACACTGTTCTTGGGGGGATTTGTTTTGATCAGTTACATGATTTCTCAGTATAAACAAGCATGAGGATTGTTCAGTGTTAAATTGTAACACGGATCAAACATACAAGATTCATTCTTTTCCAAAAGATGAAAAGTTTAAAAAAAACGTGGAGTAACTTCACAGGAAGGCCAGGTTTCAGGACTCCGGGAAAATTTAGTGTTGTCTGTGAGAAACATTTTGAAAACAAATACGCTTCCGGACGAAAGTTAATTTATATATATTCTGAGGTTTAACTGCAGTCATAGATAAAGAATAGACTAGACACTACAGGAAAAGTTCTAGTCATAGATATAGTGAAACTAGACAATAAAGGACAAGATATAGTCATAGATAAAGAATAGACTAGACACCACAGGAAAAGTTCTAGTCATAGATATAGTGTAAAACATACTCTACAGGACAAGATATAGTCATAGATGTAATGTAAACCAGACACTACAGACAAGATATAGTCATAGATATAGTGTAAACCAGACACTACAGGAAAAGTTCTGGTCATAGATATAGTGTAAACTAGACAATACAGGACAAGATATAGTCATAGATATAGTGTAAATCAGACACTACAGGACAAGATCTAGTCATAAATATAGTGTAAACCAGACACTACAGGACAAGATCTAGTCATAGATATAGTGTAAACCAGACACTACAGGACAAGATCTGGTTATAGGTATAGTGTAAACCAGACACTACAGGACAAGATCTAGTCATAGATAAAGTGCAAACCAAACACTACAGGACAAGATCTAGTCATAGATATAGTATAAATCAGACACTACAGAACAAGATCTAGTCATAAATATAGTGTAAACCAGACACTACAGAACAAGATCTAATTATAGATATAGTGTAAACCAGACACTACAGGACAAGATCTAGTCATAGATATAGTGTAAACCAGACACTACAGGACAAGATCTAGTTATAGATATAGTGTAAAACATACTCTACAGGACAAGATCTAGTCATCGATGTAGTGTAAAACAAGCACTACAAGACAAAATCTAGTCATAGATATAGTGTAAAACAAGCACTACAGAACAACATCTTATAGTTATAGACATAGTATAAACCAGACAATGAACATCTGGTACATTGGATTGTACACATTTGGGAAGGATCGGGCATTTTCTGCTCATTCTGTGGTATTACATATCTATAAATGTGGTCTTTTTCTGCTCTCTCTGTGATATTACTTGTCTATGATTATGGTCCTTTTCTGCTCTCTCTGTAATGTTACTTGTGGTTGGATTTTGTAAGCTGAACCATTAAGTTTCTTCTCATGAGAAATGACATGCTAATTTTCTCAAATGAATAAAGATGCCAGATTTAGTCAGAAATATGAAATATTCAGCAAAAAATCGATGTGGGGGGGGGGTGGTTATTGTAAAAATGAGACAGATAAAAAGGGAGGAAGAATAGAAAAATATACAGAATAGAAAAATATTCAGAATAGAAAAATATACAGAATAGAGAAATATACAGAATAGAAAAATATACAGAATTGAAAAATATACAGAATAGAGAAATATACAGAATATAGAAATATACAGAATAGAAAAATATACAGAATAGAAAAATATACAGAATAGAAAAATTACAGAATAGAAAAATATACAGAATAGAGAAATGATCCAGAAGGAAAAATATTGGTGTTGAATAGTTGATGAAGAATGGAGGCTCGTAAATGTATAAAATATTCATATTGAGATCATTAAACATTTTGAAAAATATGCAGGCTCAACTTCATACAATCATCGGGGATAACATGTCGAGGTGAAATAGTCAGGGAGCCTTCACTTTCAACCCCATTTTTACCCTGAAAGAAACTGCAGACTTAAAGGGAGTGTTCGCGAAAAATGAAGGGGGATTATAGGCTTGCGGCGAAAAATAAGTGCTTTTGATCGCTACTAATCTTATATTCTATCTGTTGCGTCTATAAGGATAAAATGGTTAAAAACGACTCATACCGAAGAACGCAGCGTCCATACAAATTCGGAAAGTTGCAACATTCAACTCGGATCGTAAAATAATCAATTCAATTACAAACAAATCATTCATACAAACAATAGTCATCGATTATTTTTCGACGCATTCGTATATAGTTAATTTTTCATAATATTTTTGATTTCGTTTTGTTAAATAATATTTCGCTTGCGCTGGATTTTCGAACATTCCTGGAAATTATGAAAATGTCGTCTTCATTATCAAATATCCTCGAAACAGTATTCCTGTTTTCAAAAGTAACTCTCAGATCATGAAAAATAAAAAAATTAGACGCAACGGATAGAAGTAAGATTAGTAGCATTTAAAAGCGCTTATTTTTCGCCTATACCTCCTTTTGTTTTTCGCGAACACTCCCTTTACATTTAAGCGACTTCCATTTAAATGTATGATTCACAACAAATCAACTAGGAGGAACATTTCGTCTTTTT